TTTTCAAATTTTTCGAATTGGAATCTTAGCAACGAAAATATGATTTTTTTCCAAAAGAGTACATTTAAGGCTTTTTTGTAGGCAATACACTTTTTAGAAACAAGAAGATAAGATGGTGAAAGAATGTTCCTTAAATAATTCTGAACAAGCGACAATCAACAAAAATCCATTATTTTCAGAGGGTCCAAGCAAAGACAACTTTTTAAAAATAACATTTTGGTGAAAATTTAAACCGATATTTACATTCGTGACATGTTTTCTTCATAATTTTGACCTCCTGATTGTGATTCAGTTGTCAAATTTAAGTTTCAGATAAAACCAAAATCACCAAGAATCAAGATTCGAAAACAACTCCCGGCTGTTAAATGTCTGAATAAAATACGATTACTGGTTTTTACTATTTTTTTACTGAGTTTTGCAGTACGGTATTATCATGTCGCTGAATGATCAAATCGAGGATCAAATGAAAATTAGTCCTTGAAAGACATTTAAAACGCATTTGAGGCATATTCTTGATTTTTTCAGTTTGCTTGTGTTTTTCCAAATTTCAAAGTTTTTTTGGATAAATTATATCTACCTACCTACATACCTACCCCTATCTTACCCAGGTTACTTCTATTCTTCCTTTAAATGATTAAAATACCAATGCCAGACTTTGCTGCAGCTACGGGAATTAACATCTCCAAATCAAAACCCTTAAATGGAAAAAAAATCATATTTTCGTTGCTAAGATTCCAATTCGAAAAATTTGAAAACCTTTTCAAGGTAAGACATAATACTTCATTATTTTAAAGTAAAAACGAGAAAAAATATTTCTTTTTTCAAACGGGGCTTGGATGAAGTTATTGAAATTTTTTACCGTTTTACATATCACCCTGTACGAAATTTACTTGCAGAACCGTGGACTTCATATCTATAGCATGAATTGCTAGAGGATGGGGCTAGCAGACATCATAGACCAAAATTAAATCGTTTAAGAAACAAAAAAGTTATGTCGTTTTGAAAAAGGACGAACTTTTTGGTCGCGACACATTGAGTGGTGTATATAAGACTTACATCTACACCAAAAAAATGGTAATCATTACTTTCAAAACACTTAATTTTAGTAGGTATAATATAACCATTATCCCTACTCAAATCATAATGCCCACTTTCTTAAAGAAATAAAACTTAAAAAACATACCATTGTGTTATACTCAACATAGTATTGTTTACAATGGTAAACCTGTTTTGAACCCTTCCGCCCCGCTGCCACTGGTGGCCCTTCAGCAGCGGCTTGTGTCAATGCGTCTCTACATGCAGTCGACGCCCGGTCCATATGGGCAATTCTTCAATTCTTTTTTATGTACTACTTCCTGTTTAGACGCTGTTCTTGCTCCCTTCAATGTCTGAATGTCTGAACATCTTTTTTTTACATATGAGCCCTTTTTGTTCTCGACTTCATATGTTGTTTTTTTAATTTTTGTTTTACAATAAGAGGGTCTTTGATATAGTTATTTTTGCGGAGTTATATTAATATTATAATATTATACGAGATATAATAATGCACAAGGATGTCATCAGACGGAAAATGTTAAAAATAATTAAAATTTGACATCTACATGATCGTTAACCTCACTTTCTATTAATTTAAAATATCATTAGTCGTCTTCTTCCAATTTATAACCTGATTGGTCCAAATCACTGTGTATAATAAAATTGGCCAATCACATATACCTTTTTTTGTCGGGGCGGTTATCATTTATTACGGAAAAACCCAATATTAAGCAAAAGGAGTGGATAAAAAGTATTATTACACGTAGTTTCTAGGTATTTGGAGCAAAAGTACTTAATGTAATTGCTGGATAAATTGAATAAGAGTAAAGAATTCATGGTCCACAAATTTTAGTATGCGGTTTTCGTAGGGATAAAGTCGTTTTGATTTAATATTAATGTTGTAATATCTCTACGAGAAACCAGACTGATATTTATTGGTCTAGAAGTTTAATAAAACCGGAGCAAAAGATACAATAAAAGTCGCATTTTCAACGGATGAACGGTTCTACTGTAAAACTATATTAATTTTGATTAACATTTAATAAAAAGTGCAGTTTTTTATTATTCAGGATTAACGAAAAAGTTAATTAAACTTGGAATGATAAAAATCCAATCAAAGTTTAAAGACAAATAAATTACTTTTATATTCTTTTATTTTGTTTGAAATGGATTTTGTTATATTGCGGGGTTATATTTAAAGGGTAAAGGTGGTGGGAGTATATAAGGAAAAATTGGCCTTTTAAAAATCATGGACCATTACTGATGAAGTTCTAAATTGGGGTTCGGTTGTAAAATATAAATTTCGTTTTTATCTGCATTAGTTGTCAAGTGGTTATTGGAATAATTTCATTTTAACAGCTGTTAACACAATTGACTCATTTTTTTTAACAATTTATACAGGGTGCACCAAGTATCCTTCTATATGTATACTTTATTTGAAATGCTACAGGGTCGGTTAATTACAAGCCTATTAACATGTTATTGAACAAAAATAAGAAAATATTAAAAAAACCCTAACGAAAACTGCTTAATTTAACGAAACCTATTAATTAAACAACATTTTTTTCCAATCAAAAAATTAATTTTGTAAAATTTTTCAAAAAAAACTTTTGTTTAGATGCCTAAAAATGCTGTACACTTAATATAATTAGGAATAACAACCGACAAATTGTATTTTAATTAGATTTAACACATGCGGGTTCACACTAAAAAGTTCTACACGCAGTAACGCTGCATATTTAATTAATTAGTTAATTGGTTAATCCACACGAGAATTTATAATCATATAAAACTATTTTAATTATTTCTAAAATTTCATATTTAAATATTTAACCCTCGTGATGCGACTGTCACAGCCAGTGGCTTATTGTCATCATTTTTTAGTCCTTTTTTGGACTCCGACTTAATTGGGAAGAACAACCGTACAAACTGTTTTATATTCAGCATATTTGAATATGAAACTTTTATATGGGACAATGGATTTTGTCAAAACTCCCCAGACAAATTATCCACCGATGTATTCATATGTTTTTTATGAGAGACTCAGAACCATATAGCCACCAAGGGTAACTTTTTTTTATAAATTACCTAAACATTTCAAATCAATAGCGAATAATGACATCATAAATCGGCGGATTTAAACGCTATTTTTTACCTTCTTTATTCGTGTAGAATTCGCGCTAAAGATCGATGTTTATGCAGTTTGTTTTGGCGAAATAATTAGTTTTGGCGAAAAAATATCAACGGCGGCTGAATTGAAGCGAATTAATTAACAACGTCGATTCCAAACAACAATTCCGCTCCAAATTAAAATTAATTCGAAACGGTAGCAATTAAATGTTACAAATTCGAGTACGTTTTCGCTTATAATGCCTCCGAGACGGCTGTGGACCATAACATTTTATGGTAAATAATATTATTTAGCCATTGTCTCATTGTGTTAACTTGTTTTCATTTTTATGTTGATTTGGGACTTTCAACATATGTTTTTATGAAAAGCATTAAATGAAAAAGATTTTTGATATTATCAATACTTATATTCGTTACTATTTTATCTAAAACATAAGCAACTTGATTTTTTAACACTATTTTAATTCTATTGATGGTCATCCTCTTTACTACAGTAAAACCTTTTCGATAGACTGCATATTTTATCTATGCTATCTACTTTTAATATTTGGTAAAAGCCAATCCTGATTTATTAAAAAAAAATAAAATTTGTCCAATTCTACCAAATTTACTTTAAAAATAAAAAATATAAATAAAGTAATATACAAAAATTACAAAAATATTCAAATTTTATAAAAAATATGTTTTTTGTTACTTTTTAAACTTTACTGGTTGTCTTCCTCTTTTGGAAAGTATAACCTTTCCAATAATAAATTTTATCTATGTTATCTACATATAATATTTAGAAAAGCCTGATAATTTTACTTTAAAAACAAAAAAATCATAAATAAAATATAAAGTTTTAAAATAAGCAGGAAAAAACAGAAGCACAGTCTTAAAAAATTATTTTTCTACTCCCACCTTTAAAATGCTTATTATCCTACATGTTTCTATGACACTAAGTGACCTTTAAATTGACATTGAGAAGTTGTGGCTTTATGGCGATTTAGTCACGGGCTGAAGTTAGTTTTAGGTTATTTGACAGTTGTCAAATGTCATACAATCGTTAAAATAAGCCCTTCTTGTAAAATAATACTAAATTTAAAAATTATTCTATTATACCAATACAAAAGTATTAAATAGTTTCTTAACGCCAATATTTGAAAAGTTTATTTGAACATTGTACTGATCTTTTAATTTCGCCGGTTTAAGATAATTTTGGGTGGAGTGCCCATAAAATATGTTATTCACTTTTACTGTGAAAAACTATTGTTCGCCCATTTTCAAGGTGTATATTTCGATTTAAAAATACAAATTTAACATTTTTACCGGCCCAAAAATATTTCATTTAAATCGTTTTAGATAATAAGTATTTGTCGTAGAAAAATGTATAGTATGCAACTCGTTTATAAACTTTTCTAAACACTTATTTAATTAAATAGCTCGTGCAGGCATGCCTGATTTAAATTTGGAACTAAAATGATGTTTATCAAACTACTATTTCTTAGTACTATCTAAATTTTATTGTTGGTCTATACAAAGTGCATATACGCTACCTACTTTTAATATCTGAAAAGGCTACTGTTAAAAAGATATAGTTCTTTCTATCTGTTGAATTTTTTACCTATATGAGCTGCTGATATTATCAGTGGTGTGCCCACAGGGGGTTACGGGGGTACAACCCACAAGGCTTAGAATTTTTAAACAATATATATTTTTTAATTACCAGTCCAAACAAAATTTCTGGGCACGTCACTGGTTATTATTTGATAGATTGGTACAAATAAAAGGGACAAAACTTTTCTACAAATAAAGACGTACACACAGAAAGCGGGTACCTACGTAAAAAGGACAAGATGGATGTGTCGGCTTGGAACGAAAAGCAAGGTATTAACTTTAGTTTTACTTCCTTTCACTGCCCTTATCCTGCAAGCGCGGAAGTGCAAAAAGAAAAAGAAAACAAATTGTCGCTTAATCCTGAAATTCTGAGGCAGACTTTTCCAGTGTTTTTGAGCGAATTCAGTTTTGATTAAGATTAAGCAAAAGTAAGTGGCGAACATTTAAAACGTGGAAACGTAGAAAAAAATCAATGTTGCGTTTCGCGTGTTCATATTTGCTTTCAGAATCGACAATAAAAGTCTAATTAGTGCTGAGGGAGAACATAAATATTTTACCTGATAGAGAAATAGAGAAATGAATAATATTATATTCGAAATAAAATGCAGACTTTTTATTAAAATCTTAAATCAATAAAACCCGCCTAATTCGCTAATAAATGAAATGTAAGGCTGCAAATGCTTTTTCATGCTCGAGGCGTATTTTATTCAAATTTATACTGATGAAATTTTAACATTGTAAAGTGGAGGCAGCCAAAAAAGATAATGGTCCAAAAATTCATATATCATCCTTGCAAAAATGATGATAAATCATAGAAAATTTTTAATAAAGAATGCTGCCGTGCTCTAGGCACTTAAGCCACTTCAATCTAAAATTTAAACAAAAATTAATTACAATTAACGCTCCAAGATGCCATTGGGCTAACTTTAAAAGCTTTTGCACCGCGCTATCTTAACAAGGAATTTAATTTTTATAATGGAATTAATGAATTTTCCAGCGTAAACTTTTAAAATTAAAACCATATCACTTTTTTTCGGCAAAGATTCTGTGTCTACATCTGGCAAGAAGATTTTAATTAAGTTTCGCTAATATTCACCCCAGAGGTGGGGGACGACTTCGCCCGACCCTCCTTAGGTCAGGAAAGTTCCTAATCTGATTATTACTTGACTCATGCAGCTGCCAGACCCCCAAACCCGGCCGCAAATAATTATTACGAGCTCCCAGACATAGAAATGCGATTAAATCAGCCTACGGGACCCTAAATAACCATCCATACTCTCTATAACAAAATTAACAGCAGTTTTTAGTTTTACCAGAAATTTGCGCCTTTTTCTATAGAAAATGATCGCTATAGAAAGCAATAATCCAATCAGAGGACGGCACTCTCCACAGCACACTGGTTTATTGCTTTCTATATAGATCATTTTCTATAGGAGATGTGTTCAGAAAATATCGGGAATTTTCGTTTTTTGAAACAAATATTTATTTATTCGTCTACATTAATGTTGTCGTATTCAAAATAGTCCCCATTGGATATTATGCACATGTGCCATCTCTTCTTCCAATACTCGAAACACTTCTAAAACTCGATCTTTGGGATAGCCTTTAGTTCTTTCAGCGATGCGCTTTTAATGTCATCTATGATTGCGAAACGACGGCCCTTTAAGGTTCTCTTTATTTTTGGGAATGGGAAAAAGTCAGACAGAGGCATGTCTGGCGAATATGGAGGCTGGGGCATTACAGTATTGTTTTTGGCCAAAAATTTTGTTCAAAATTTAACAATTTTAGAACAAATTTTGCTGCCACGCGTTTTACACCCAAAACATTCGAAAAAATTTCATGGGATGAGCCAATCGATATACCAACATCATCAGCGACTTCTCTGATGGTTTATAACCATTTCTTCCACTTTTTCCATGTTTTTATCGGTTGTTAATGCGCTTGTGCGTTCGGGGCGTTCGTCATTTTCAACGTTTTCGCGGCCATCTTGGAAACTCTTACACCACTTGTAAACTCTTGTTTTACTTATAGCAGACTCACTATAGGCCTTTGTTGACATTTCACAGAATTTATTTCATTTTTTAAGCAAAATTGGATACAAATTCTTTGATCAATTTCTTTTATCGAACGAAAAATCGCCGAGCTCATAAAACACGTCTAACCTTAGCGGCTGCCACAGACAAAGTAAACAATGAAAACAGCTAAAGTTTTTATCATACTTTGGGGGCATATATACCAACATAATAAAGAAAATTTTATGACAACCGGACCCTCCGAACCCGCGAAATTTAACAATTTCCGTTATTTTCTGAACACACCTCGTATACTTTGAAACATTAATAAAAGTAAACGTTAAATATTAAAAAGCGAACCATAATCAAAGGACTGTCAAGTTGGCCCACTTTACCTGCTGTCTTTAAAATCAATTATTTGTCTGGTTGGTAACAGTGGGCCGCTTTTTGTTTGTATGTTAATGTCAACTTTGACATCCCACCTGACATTTTAAGTAATTACTCTTCGGAATAGAGGGCAATTAAGTAAACGAGAAAACAATAAAAAACACAATACGGTTCGTCTGAAAAATATTTAAATTAAACAACCCTTATTCTACTTTAATCCCTTTTAATTGTAAGTTAACGCCGAAATGAAGGTTGTATTCATTTATTTTGGAAGTCGAGTAATATTTCAAGCTTCCTAATGTTCCCTGAGTTGTGTTTCTGATCTATTGTTATATTAATAGGGGTGAAATACAGATTTTGCGAAAGTGAACATTAACATGATGAGAGTTTTAATTGGTAAGAACAAGGGTCACGGGAAAGTTAAATGGGGTTCTAATACAGGAAAATACAAAACAATTTTTTCTAGCATCACTTTTAAGTGTGATATTTATCCCATACATTTTAGCTTCCTCTTTCCGTTAAAAAAACAACAAAGTAAAACAATCAAAAAGGATAGTCTTTATAGCCTTGGCATCGTTTCAAAAGCGTAGTGGCACATCGTGTTATTTATTTATTATTTCGCATTTTTAAAGGTTTTGTTTGGCCGAACCACTCGATTTATTTTTACGGCCAGAAATTGCATTAAACTTCAATGTTGCCCGAAACATTAAATTGAAACCTTTTTACGTGCTTATCAAAAATGGCGAATGCGCCGGGATAATATTACTGTTTTATTAATGTGTTCTTTTTTTCCACGCTTACTCAAAATAGGACTTAAATGTAAGTATAAGGTTTTATTGATTCGTTGTTGCCTTGCATTATTAATTTAATCACTGATATTTATGTTGTGTTTTAAAACTAATATTTTGTGTATATATTAAATATTTACTTCCATTATCTTCAAAGCATTAGGGTAAAGTAGTTATTGGACAATGAACATTAATACTGTAAAAACAAGAGTTCTATAAATAGTTACCTTAAAGTAAAATCATTAGATGACGCTTTATACAATTATAAATATCTCAGTCGGTAATAATATAAAACTACTTTATTTTGGGTCCAATATAGGACAAAAAAGTTACTTTGGTGGTAAGATTTTTTTTGTGTTTAAATTACAATAAAAATATTTCTAAAAAGTGTCATTACGTAGTATAAATCTGTTCCTCGTGGTTTAAACATCACTTTAATGCGTTTTAATTTTAATTCTAAAAACAAACAGTTGGTAAGAAATGTAAATTCTTATGTAAAATTGTCCCCTGAATCCGAATAGACCGTCAAAAACTATAAAAGTTAAGCAGTTTTTGAAATATACTCAATTCCATATTATATGTAAAATTGATTATATTTAAAAAACTGTTCTCCTTTTATAACTTTTAACGACATTTTCGGATTCAGCGAATAATATTTCATAGGAATTAACTGCTAAATGTCCTGGATACAAATTGCTGTTGACGAGAATAATTAGTAGCTGTTTTTTCGCTATGACATTTTTGACTAATTCATTTTTAGAGAGTAAGTAATATAGGGATTTCTTCGTCACAGGACATCTTGCAGAATAAAAGTGATTTAAATACAGTGCATGATAGAGAACATAAAAAATTTAATGGCAACAAAATTAATAAAAAATACTTTTTACATACCACCCGAAAAAATATTAGTTATATATATATAAATCATCCTGTTCCCGCCTAAACATTATAAATGCTTCACAAACTAGAGATACCACACTTAATGATATTTGCAACAAACTATTTCAGAAGTCAGACCAAGGAATTAGTAGTTACCTTCAGAATCCAGAAACGGGATGAGGAATCCGAGAAAGAAAAATATGAATTATATGATATATACAAAAACGAAATAAAAAAATTACCTAAAACAGCAATTTATCTTTAAAAAATATTTAACAATTTTAAGTTAAGTTGTTATTTTTATATAAAAATTGTATGTTCAATAACTTTGGTCCATGTGTCCAATTACTATATATAATGTCCAATTACTATACTTTTTTGCATGTTTTTATAAAACTAATATTAAAAATTCATATTTTTAAGTAAACGCAAATAAAGTTTAAACAAATAAACTATCCTTTTTATATATTTATAAGAAATAAACTAAAATCTTTAAAACAACGGCATATATAAATTTTAAATAAATAATATTCCTTAAGCGTCCAATAACTATGTGGTTTACCCTACATGAAAGGTGTAAATTTTACGAAAACCCAAGAAAAGATTCTACAATAATTAATGTGGGCAAACCTCATTTGTTTTCATTCCCATCGTTTCGTGTGTTCTTTTATTTGTTTTTTACGGCGAACAAAAAACTTTTCACCCATACACAACAATCGATTGATTAGTGGGAAATACTTTTTGTCCACAAAAGAACTGATAATAAATAGGTTAAGCCCTGTAGCACGTAATTCTCAAGAAAGAACAAAAAAGTTGTGTTTATGCTATCAAAAAGTTTGCAAGAACGTTAATGCTCGCAAAATCTCTAAGGCGACGTTCTTATCAAGCTCTGACATTTAGTTTATAGCTCTTTTGTGAAAAATGTCCTATTTTTCCAGACACTGATAACCAACGCGTCATCATCCACGTTAGAGACGTTAATGACGAGCCTCCTTACTTTATCAACCGTCCGCTGCCAATGCAAGCCGTAGTACAACTCAACGCGCCTCCAAACACTCCAGTATTCACTCTACAGGCCAGGGATCCGGATACGGACCACAACATCCACTATTTCATCGTCAGAGACCGGACAGGCGGCCGATTCGAAGTCGACGAACGTTCCGGTGTTGTCAGAACCAGAGGTACGGATCTCTTCCAACTGGATATGGAGTACGTTCTGTACGTCAAAGCTGAGGATCAGAATGGAAGAGTGGACGACAGACGGTTTCAGTCCACACCTGAGGAGAGGTTGTCCATTGTTGGAGGCAAGCGAGCTCCGCAATTCTACATGCCTAGTTATGAAGCTGAAATACCCGAAAACCAAAAAAAGGATTCAGAGTGAGTATTGAGCAGTTTTCGACTTTTTTATTAAAAATATAATTTTTGAAACATCTACGTGATATTGATCATTTGCCTTTTAAGGGCCGTATGCAGAAACGTTGATTTATTTAGCATATCAGTGGATATAGGTTTTTGCACGACATGGCAACGCAGTATTTTTCTTTAAAAACTGTTGTTTTAATAAAATGAATTGAGTAATTATCTTTCAACGTTTATATTTTCCCTAAAAAAGTCGATTTCTATACATTGACATTTTAAATTAAACATAAAACAATTAAAATTTTATCAATATTTATTTGACATTTGTGACATTTGCTTTTAACCATAGAAAATAATTTCGCTAATATAAGTGGTTTACTAGATTTGTTTTTGGCCAATAAAATCATCTAAAATGTAAATCGGTTAACAACTGAATAAAAATAGACAGTATTTTTGCTTGTAAATATATAGGAAAAAATAAATTCAGAAGGTAAACAAATATATAATTAAAAAAATAACATTTCTTAAAGATAAAATTACTACCATGTTATTATATCAAATATCTGTTTCCTGTCTGACTAAAAGCTGAATGCTTGAAATCAATTGATTTATAACTTTCTTTGGTTTAATTGTAAAATAATTACCCCTTACATTGAACTTGGGTGAAAATATTTATTGATTATTTTTTTTATTATTAAAAACTTACTTACCTTCAATAAATGTTTGCATTTTAAAATAATACCTAGATAAAAAAATTACTATTTAATAAATAATAAGGATTATAAAATAAAACCAAAATTGTGTTTAAAAAATATTTGACTTTTGAAGAATTTTAAATTTTAGGCCATGTTTTGAGTATATCTCTCTCCTGTTGATTAAAAAAGTTTATTCTGAAGCCATAATTTATGTATATCAAGCATTAACTAACGTATGTTATCCCTTAGATTTTGTTTCTTAATTTTTTGATATTCTTTTCACAAATTTTATGTCTTTTTTCCCTCTAGAGGTCTTCGGCATCATTGCAATTATTCTTCAAAACATTTGCCTAAATGCCTAAAAAGGTGTTATTAGTACCTGTAAAAGAATAGGTAAAAAAACATTGCATTTATAAACAGGTCTAGTATTCCTATAACTATAATGTAATTATAATATAATTAATTAATCTTTTACAAACATTTAATAAAATTTCCTCCTTCAACAAAACACATTGCAAACTGCGAACATAACCCAATTGTGTGTTTTATATTGCCGCAATCCTCTTCAAAACCAAGTTTTTGTTATATGTATTTGTGTTTAACATCACAAATGTATCACTCTTATAATGTAATAAACACATATTTAAGTACGAGCCCTAACCACAAAATGTTCGGACACTTCATAATTTATACAGATATATTTTTCGTGAATACTATCTCAAAATTATTAGAACTTATGAAAAATTCAGCTTATTTTGGCATATACCCCTCGAATCGATTTATAACTTTTTTTACTCATACAAAAAAAAAGTTTAAAAGTTAGCCTTTTTTTAAAAGCTAAAAATAAAAGGTAAACTTTTTAAAAATAAAAATCGCTTCGAGGGGTATATGCTAAAATGAGCTAAATTTTTCTTAAACTTCTAATAATTTTGAGATAGTATTCATGAAAAATATTTCTGTATAAATTATGAAGTGTCCGAACATTTTGTGGTTAGGGCTCGTATATGTAAGATAACCTACAAATCTTTACTGTCATTTAAAATTTGCTATGTTGCCAAATTGGTTGAAACTTATTTTAGTGGATATGCGCAAATCAGTTGATATATATAAATCAACGTTTTTGTATACGGCCCTAAAAGTCTGTTTTAAAAACACGTACACCGCAAGAATTATGTGGAAAGTTTAACCACGTCTAGACTAAAACACGAAATATAGCGTTTGATGTTAACATGAAGCTGAAATAATATTTTCAAACCCGAGATTTGTACTACAGTCGGGAAAATCCTGTATGATTTAAGGAGGCGGATAAAACATATTACAAGTTACTTTTGGGGATATAGAACTTAATTATATTAATAAATGAATTTTCGATATTTCACGTAAAGTTTTTTGCGCGCAGTGCTCGTAAAATTTTGTATTACATTCTTCTTTTATGATCTTTGATCTTGATTTTAGGTCGTTAAAAGTTATACAAGGATTTTATCGAGAATTTGTTTTATTTCGATCATTTATAATATAATAATTTTTTTTTACATAAATAACTAATTTTAAATATTTTTAGCATCATATCAGTAAAAGCTAAATCCTTTGCCGATCGTGAAATCCGCTATACTTTGAAAGCTCAAGGCCAAGGCGCTGGCACATTTAACATTGGACCTACGTCAGGAATCGTAAAGCTGGCCAAAGAGCTTGACTTTGAGGATTTAAGACAGCCCCATGTCTATTCTTTAGTGGTGACAGCTACTGAAGATTCTGGAGGATTTTCTACGTCCGTTGAAGTAAGTTCTTAACTTTTGTTAACCATATAAACTAATTCTTTAATTTGTAGCTAACCATAAGAGTTACCGACGTTAACGATAACGCGCCCAAGTTCGAATTACCAGATTACCAAGCCCATAACGTCGATGAAGATATCCCACCTGGTACAAGCATACTTAAAGTAAAGGCTATGGATGCCGATAGCGGTACTAACGCTGAAATAGAGTACTTAGTATCAGACGATCATTTCAGTGTGGATCCTAGCGGTATAATCTCGAACAACAAACAGCTCGATGCCGATAACAACAACGCTTACTACGAATTCTCAGTGACGGCTAAGGATAAGGGGGAGCCGGCTAAAACTGGTACAGCGACTGTGAGGGTGTACACCAAAAATAAGAACGATGAAGAACCGAAGTTTTCGCAGCAGGTATACACGCCTAACGTTGATGAAAACGCCGGTCCCAACACTTTGGTGACTACGGTGGTGGCGAGTGACAAGGACGGCGATAACGTTCGGTTCGGTTTCGTTGGGGGCGGTACAAGTTCGGGTCAGTTCGTTATAGAGGAGATCACCGGTGTGATAAGATTGCACAGTAAAGGTATCACGTTGGATCGTGACAAGTACGAGTTGAATGTGACAGCGATGGACGATGGGGCTTGTTGCGCCAACGGTGACACCACCATACACACCAGCACTGCTGTTGTTGTGGTGTTTATCACCGATGTTAATGATAATAAACCTATATTCAAAGATTGCGGTACCTATTACCCTAAGGTTGAAGAGGGGGCGCCGAATGGTTCTCCTGTTATTAAAGTACATGCCACAGATGAGGATAAAGGTGTTAATGGGCAAGTTAAGTACTCTATAGTGCAACAACCTAACCAGAAGGGTACTAAGTTTACTGTGGACGAAGAGACAGGGGAAGTTTCCACGAATAAAGTTTTCGACAGGGAAGGAGATGATGGAAAGTTTGTTTCTGTTACCGTTAAGGCTACGGATCAGGGAGAACCTTCGCTGGAAGGAGTGTGCTCGTTTACAGTGGAGATAACTGATGTTAACGATAACCCGCCACTTTTTGATCGACAAGTAAGTATTTTAATGTTTTTTTATGTTTAGAGGGTGTTTTTAAATTTCAAATCGATCAGGGAAAAAGGGGTATTTTTTGTAAAATTTCTCTATCCAAATTGATGAGACCCGTATTTTTTCTTTTTGCTTAAATTTAAAATGCACAGAAACATCAATTTTTCTCTTTTTACAAGTTTCAGTCTTTTTTTAATTGTAGGTAAATGAGGAGTGATTTTTCAAAAGGCCTTATTTCCATTTTTACTTGAATGTAATTTTTTGACAAAATTCCAAAGGTATGGTTAAAAGGCATGTATTAACCGCGAAATATGACAGCAGGTCTGAAGTATTATTAAATATTCATCAGATTTTTTTTAAAATAATCTATATTGCCCTAACCTATACAGGTTATAGTCATTTTTTTTGAAAAATTGTTGCAAATGGAAATACGACCTTTTGAAAAATCACTCCTCAAATGTTTTCTACATAAAAAAAAAGATAAAAAATTAAGTGAATTCACTTAATTTTTTTTAAAAAAGGCCCAAAAAATATTGAGGTCAAAATTTTGACATTGCCAGATTTTTTTTTACTTCATATTTTTTCGTTTGAAGTTGATAATATAAACAACACCAAAAGTCCAGAGTTGGCTAAATTCGTCGTTTCGGCATTATTATTTTTTTAATGAAAATGCCATTTTCTAGTAAATTCATCGCAAAAATTTGGTATTTTATATAGGGTCATGAAACTTGACCTTATAAAGTGTAATTTAGAACTTTTTGACACGTTTAACATATTTTTATCACTTCCGGTTTCACCGGAAATGGTTTTTTTTATTTAGAACATCCTATGCATTTTTACATATTTTGATTCAAAATAAAATTCTCAATATATACTTATGTCATTTGTCAACTTTTGACAGGTCAAATCATTTTTTGATTAAATTTTATTTCTATATCTAGAGTTCCTTGAATTGGCTTTTCTGCTTCATGTTGAGCCAACAAGTTTGGAAAAAATACAATTTTATTCTTTTTTTGCAATGCTGATTTTTTAAGTTTGAAAAACCGTACCGTACTTTATGCCAAAACAATTTTTTTTTAATAAAATAGGGTGGTTCATTGGTCATAAAAGAAATCTACTTTTTAAATTTGATACTGAATATTAATGTATTTTTTTATAATATCGCTTTAAAACTCTTAATTAAATTTGAATGTTTATTAGGTTTGTACATAAGTAAATAAATTAAGAAGGCTTTGAAACCTTTGTCTTTGAAAAAAGTATCAGATTTGATAGTTCGTTATTTTGTTTTGAATGAATAAAAACATACGCTAAAACTTTTTATAAAATAAAATAAAAATATTAATTGAGGTGGTTAGAATCAAGGTGGTGTAAGTAATTGCTCAACATTTTTTTGTTTTAAGACTACTAAATAAAATAATTAAAACATTTTAAAACGATTATAAAAAATTAAATCTAACAGTGTGGCTATTGTAGAGAGTCTCTGTCAACAAATAAAAAAAAATATGAAATTAAATAAAAATTTGCGCATTCGTTTCTGGATCTATTATGTTTAATACTTATTTTCCTTCCTGATAGCGCCTCAGTCAAAAAAAGTTTTGCGACTGCCTCATCTATTAACCGACAACAAATTTTCGGAATTGTTTGTGTTCTACATATCTTCAAATTTGCGTTTTTATAAGTTTCTTGTGCATTTGATTCATTACTTTTAGATATGTTTAATAATTTAATTTACTTGCTTAAGAAATTTCCGGGGAAACCAGAAGAGACAAAAATATGTTAAATATGTCAAAAAGTTCTAAATTACACTTTATAAAGGTCACCCCAGTTTCATGACCCTATAGATAAAATACCGAATTAACTAGAAAATGGTATTTTCATTAAAAAATAATAATAATTCCGAAACGACAAATTTAGCCAACTCGGGAAAAGTTGTTAATATTATCTACTACAAACGAAAAAAATATGAAGTAAAAAAAATGTGGCAATGTCATAATTTTGACCTCAATTCTTTTGCCTTTTTATAAAAACAATTTAAAAACAAAATTGTAACGATCAAAACATTTTTGGCCAAGTTATGGCATTTTCAAGAAAAAATGTCACTCGTAAAAAGGGAAAAATCGATGTTTTTCAAAAATTTCCTACGGGTGAACAAAACAAATTTAAGCAAAAAAGAAAAAATACGGGTCTCATCGACTGTAAAAAACCCCCTTTTGCCTGGTCGATTTGAGATGAAAAAACCCAGATGCAATTGTTTTCTCACATTTTTTTTTTGTAGAAATATGTTGAAAATGTGAAGCAAGATGCCAGTATAGGGACGAACATTCTAAGAGTGTCAGCTAGTGACGAAGATGCTGATAACAACGGGGCCATAATATACACGTTAAGTGCTGGATCAAATCCGGCGGATCTCGAGTATTTCGAGATCCAGCCTGAATCCGGCTGGATAGTTCTTAAGAAACCTCTGGACGTAAGTACTTTGCGAATTGGTGACTAATTTTTACTAATAACATTGTTACTAATGTTAATATACTGACGGATAGGCTCGTGTGAATGAGGTTGGGTGTGAATGACGTTTCAGGTTATCCAGGGACCAGCTGCGCCATCTAGGTACGAGTGGATATAGCTGCTTCTTTCTTCATTTTCAGCGCACCTTACTTTCAGTTGCTATAAATATATATTTACTGGCCGATCTGAAACGATCGGCCGCTCACTGATCTATTATTACATTAATCTTATTATTCAATCAGTTTGATTTATACGGCACACCTTGCATAAACATGTTTATCTCAGTACTTTTGTGTACTTTGTTTTTGAGTTTTTTCGTTTTTTTGAACTCTCACCGTGACAGGGACCACACGCAAAGATTTTCTCTCACTTTTTACAATGATTCTTTAAAAAAATACAACATTTCAAGATTTTGTCAAATTTTAAATCTTGCATTTGCGACTGGTCCTTGAGCCACTGACTCTTATTCGAACCTTTTCTGTATATTTTGGAGTAGCAAGAAGCAGTTTTATTTTTTTGTGCCAGGTGCTACCAACCACAGGCCCGATTTTTGGCCCGATTTGGATTTTTGTCACAGACAGAACATGTCGACACGTATTTTTTTGTTGAGATGATTTTTGAGCCTGTGATGTGATTTTTGAGTGATTTTTTGCAGGATTATGGACCTAACCGAGATTTTATAAAAATTTTAACATTAACAAAAAAAAATGTTTTGGTCAGGGGCGTCGCAGGGGGGTACGATTTTTGAAACCCGGGGGGCAACGAACCCCTTGCGGCCCTCCTAGACGCTTGTGACATTTTTAACTTGTGAATGGGGCGGCGTACATCATTTGCAATCAAACGTCCATCGGTTTTTTTGAAGGTCGTTTTTTATAATAAAAAAAAAATTAAAAAAGAAGAATCAAAAACTTTTTGCACATCCTTGCTCCCGCCCCGCCTCCACGTGTTTTTTGAAACTTTTTTTGCATGAAATTGCCTGCTTAAAAAGTTTTATTTTGTTTATATTATATTATGATCTAAGTCAGTCAGCCATACTATTCTATACGCATATTTACTAAATTAAGTAACACATGTATTTATTAAACATTACTCTTTTTGTCGCAGGTATGTTTCTTCAAACTTACCTTTCTATAGAAAATGATCTCTATAGAAAGCAACAAACCAATCAGGGCACGGCATTTTCCACAGCACGCTTGGTGCGATGCAGACTGCCTTGCTCTAATTGTTTTATTGCTTTCTACAGGGTGCCAGTATCCTTCTATGGCTATCTTTTTTAATTGAAGAGCTACAACGTCGGTTAAATTATACAAAAGGTTATTAATTACAAGTTTATTAAAATGGGATTAAAAAATTGAATAAAAAATCAGCGGTTCTCAAATAATGAAAATAAAAACTAAAAACCTTTCAAAACCAAAATTCGTTTTAACTTCGTTATTACTGGGAATTTTGAAAAAAGGAAGTTTTACAAGTAAACGTACACATTTATCTACATTTTCATCCTATTTGTAATTTTTTTTTCCTACTAGTTTTATGATACCATCACCATCTTTTGTTTTTCCTATGACCACCATATTGAAATTTTACATGATTAGATCAAGGCCGCCATTACAAAAACAATAGATGGTGATGGTACCTAACTTAAAACGTAGTAAAATGTAGATTAATGTGTATGTTTACATGTACAATTTTCTTTGTTTTAAAATTCTCAGAAATAACAAAGTTATAACGATTTTTGGTTTTGAAAGTTTTTTTCAACTTTTGCAACTTTTGACTTACCTAATTGTGTGGCTGACTGAAGGGACATTTTCTGTTTTTAATTTGGTTAAATTGCACTTTTTTCTGTTAACTACACCGTCCAATGGAAAAAGGGATGTTATCCAGTAAGTAAAATGGTTCCACTAGTGGAGTAATAAGTACTTTGTTAAGTAAAGTGCTAGATTTTGTAAAGCCATTGACATATTTTTGACGAGGTGTGTCCGATTTTTTCCGGACACATTTGACCTCAACTGTATTTTTTATGATTTTTTTCGAGACTGTGTTTTGGCATCTTAAACAATAATGGCTTATTTTATTGTAGAAAAGCCTTCTGTCTATAAATTTGTATAAAGTTTCTTTCAGTGCATGTACATATGAGTTATTTAAGATTGGCTATCGAGTGAATCGACAAAATTTTTATTTTTATTTTTATGCACAATTTTCCTTGTTTTATACACATTAAACTGATATAGAAAGTCAGAAAATTTTAGTGGCAGTCGTGTCGATTTGATTTTTTAGGTTGAAGAAATTTTGGAATTGCGTCGTGGTAGATGGACAAAATGTGACAAAATGTACCAGGTTTTTAATGTTAACCAAAAAATAATCTTAAAGTTAAACGATCAACAAAATCTTTATTTTGTGGACCTGTTTTCTTAATTATTTAATTTAACGTAGTGTTTTAATTATTTTGTTTACCAACCATTATTTTTATCAGTAAACAAGAGGCAAATACCATTTGTACCAGCTAACCTCCTTAGGAGGAAAAGCTAGTTCATACTTGAAAGAAACTATACAACTTATGTAGAGCTAGTTTAGTAAGCGTAGCTCTAAAAAAAAGTCAAAATTAAGTTGTTAGGCCTTTTGTTTGCTTTTAAATAGAACCAAAACACAGTCTGCAGCAAGAAACTCCCGCCATTAAAAACTAAAAAGATAATTAAGATTGAGAACCAAAAATTGGCGGTACAATTTTATGAGTTTTGTTCTTGAGTTGTTCTGTTGTGTGATTGAATTATTATATATGATTTTTTTTGTTCGCATACACTCCAAGGTAAAATGGAAAAAGCTACTCCTGAAAATGTTACAGAGACGTCCAAGAACCAATTTGCAGTGTTCAAAATAACGTTGTGTTTTTTAGGATATTATAGATTTGAACATACCTACACAGTTTAAAGATTTTGCACGCTCTAAATAGTCTAAATTTTCTTTCACATTCTATATTTTATACGTTTTTACATAGATTCTTCTATCATTCTAAAATATCTGGAACTTCTAAAGTGTGTAACATTACACATGAAACCTAATTCCACGAAAATACAGCATTTTGGCATATTTTGTCATGGCGGTTACAACGTGACATTGCATTTCAGATTCTAGTGATTCAGATTCATTCTCCAAAAATCCTTAGAATGTATAGTATAAATCATTGGCATCCCATGTTAGGTTTTTGACCATAAAAGAACAAGGAACAATTCAATGGTGTTTTAGACACCTGTTGGTGGTCCGTTGGACTCGTGTCTGTAGTTCTCGGAGTACGTTTTAGATTTTGCCCTGGCGTGTAGACCGTTTCTGTTGACTGAGTGTTTCATTTACGTTTGATTTTGTCCTCTTGTACCTGAACCCGACCGTGTGCCGATCGTACCAATCGAACGCATTGTTACAAACAGCGTGACAGGTACCGTCTGCGAGTACGTGCCATCGACAAAGGCAACGCGGGAATGTATGCCGAAGTGGACATTGAATTAGACGTTGTAGACAGGAACAACAAACCTCCGATATGGGATGTTGACCTGTACGGCCCCATACACATCAAAGAAAATGTCACAGTCGGTACTGTAGTGACCTCTTTGAAGGCAAGGTTGGTATCGTGGATTTAACGCAGAAGAAACGGTACTATCAAACAAATACAAGCCAAATCGACACCTCCACCACCAATAATAGACTCTTTCTTCAGTACAATCAGTTTTCCACTATTTTGGTCATTGTAACATCAGTTTTGTTCCTCCTATCTGTCAAATAAATTCCATGGCATATATTTGATAGATTGGACATGCGCAATGACAGTTAAAAAGCTGAAAAATTTGAAAAACTATTGTCCTATAGGAATATTCTGGAATTGGTTGTCAAAATGTTTCTTGTGCTCGATATTTGTTTGATATTACTGTAAGGAAGACATTTGCTACGAATTGGGCGTTCGCCAAGGTCTTCGGCTCGCGAGGGTGGGGGGTCGCAGGGTTGCCAAACCGCCGCGGACCTTGGCTAGCCATTAACATGTACCTACTTAAAAAAAGGAAGTCCATACTACCAGACCACATTCCATTTGATCCATATTTTTCTTATTATATATTATTATTAGTTGTATTTTTGATGATATTATTGACGCGATGCCATTTTCGATTTGTCAACTCCAATTATTGTACAAATGCACTTTTTATTTGCGTTGTTTTTTGTTGGTTTTTGGTTTTTGACAACCTTCTTGAAGATACGAGTTTTGTGTACTTTTTGCAATTTGTTTTTAGTTTCACTGCACCTTTTATTTATTTGCTATATAATAAAAATAAGCTTGATGATTTTATATTAAGTTAAGCATGGTGAGAATCAAGTTTTATAGAATTCTATCTTTTTTAATCTACGAAGTTCTATTTTTATAATTCTTAAAAAAATTCTTTTAAATTTAAATGTTCTAAGAATTTGTTTTAAGGTTTTTAAAAATGTTTGGGATTCTAAATTGGTTAAAATATCTAAGATTATATAAAACTCAGGATTTTTGAATACTTTAATTTTTAAGGGATTTTAAATATTTTTTTATATACAGTGTGTCGCACTTAAGATGAAGACACCCCCATATTCGCTATTTGAAGGAATAAAGGTTTGAATTTTTTCACATTCATACATGTTGATGGGTCACATTTTTTAAGCTACTCAACTGAAATCTGAACTTTAAACTTGGCCTACTACAAATTCACAAACAGGGCCAGTTCTCGATATTTTGCTTCGCGTTAGAGATATCGAAAAAAGTTATTGGAAAAAGTTGTTCAGAATATTATTCTAACCCTATATACCAATTTATATAACAAAATTCGCATTTTTAATTTTTTTTTATTTTGGTCCACACAAAATTATTATTATTACAAGTTCATTTTTTAGTTTAGTTTAGTAGGCCCCGTTTGTGAATTCGTAGTAGGCCAAGTTTAAAGTTCAGATTTCAGTTGAGTATCTTAAAAAATGTGACCCACCAACATGTATGAATGTTAAAAAATTCAAATCTCTATTCCTTGAAATAGCTAAAATATGGGGGTGTCTTAATCTTAAATGCGACACACTGTATATTTTCTACATGGATTTTTAGAAATTTAATTTATTAAATCCTTTAGAGTTTAAGGATTATTTTTAATAAATATTTACAGGGTGTCACTGTGTCACCTGTATTTGTAATAATTTTTTTTTAAATAATTTTATAAAGCACTTGTAACCTATGTTCAAGTTGTGTTGTTTTAGCCATTTTACCAATTATAATTTAGTGAAAAGATCAACACTCGGGTAAGTGAAAACAATTGATCGCATGGTTGGGGTTGGCAAATCAGCGAAAGCGGGGTTGCCGTCTCTTGACGCTGAAACTGAAACGTTCTGCGAACACAGCGCGCCCACTCGCAAAATTGCTTACGTTATTGTCATGTTTTTCTTTGGCGCGGTCTTCAGCGCGAGACCTACAAGCTGGAGGCCACCGCGCAAGACAAAGGCTATCCTCCCCTCTCCCGATCCGTGGAGGTCCAGATTGACGTTGTGGACCGCGCTAACAACCCCCCCGTGTGGGATCACGTGGTCTACGGGCCCATCTTCATCCGGGAAAATCTCCCGGTCGGCGCCAAAGTGGTGTCCGTAAAGGCCAGGTCTGTCACCTTACCTAAGACTTCAGCTACCAAACGCAGTAGACACCTAAACGATGATTTAAAGAAAGAACTATTTCAGTAAATCAGCTACAATAACATTTATTCTATATGGATTTTGCAATTTCAGACAATTAAGCTGTAAGAAACTTGAAAGATTCTATAGAATCAGACTTTAAATTACATTGCCTTTTTAGAAATATTTAGAAAAAACTCTTATGTAGTAATTAATATTTTGTAACGATCCTGGTCACGGCACCAATTTGTAACGATCTCAGAAACAAATGTTGTTTAAATTGTATATTAATACTATTTTACCTGTAATATTCCAAAACGGTTTTTTTTAAAGGAAGGCAATTTTCAAGGTTTACTAAATTATTTATAAAATCATTGCCCATGTTATATTTTGTGGTTCATAATGTTGAGGGTCGTCGGAAAAATAGCGTTCTCAGTGTAATTTTTAAATGAATAGTTTATTGAACGGAAAAAATACGGTAACATCATTTATTAAAAAAAGAAATAATTCTATTCGAGGTTGTCGTTTCTTGCTATCATTTCCAAATATTTTAACTCATCAGGAAACTCATCCTCAACGAAGTTCCAATCCGTTGTGTCAATTAAAAATTTCAGAAAAGCGTGTTCAATTTCTAAAAAAGTTGTTATGGATAAACTTAAAATGTTAAAGGTAGTTACTTACTTAGTTCCTTTAACAGCTTTTTGGTGCAATGTGCCGAGTTTAATATACATGCTTTTTTTTCCGGGCCCAGTGGAATAAAACAAAATACCGCTTGTAATAGGCACAGTAAAACTGCTATAACTACTATGCATTTCATTTTTAATAAAAAAATCTGACAGTTAAATTGTTATAGTTTTGTGATTGTGTTCATTATTATTATTATCAACAATAGTAAAATTAAAGTTTTTTTTTGATAACGAAAATTATTGCATAGGTAAATGAGTCATATATTATAACATGAACATTGTTGTGTATTATAATAAGCTTTATTACTTAATATTGTTACCTCCTTTTCGCTTAACATGACAGTGTCACTTAACATGTTAATTTACAAAGGTTTTCAATCATACACTTGTGTCTTTACAAAAAATATATCATTATTATGTTTTTAATATTTTTCGTAACAAGGCCTAAAAATTTCATGTCACTATCTACTATATAGTAACTTTCCCATAATTAGCGTGTAAAACTTTAACAGCAGATTCTACGTACAAAAATAGGAAAAAAAGTTCCTATAAACATAGGTCGAGAAATGCTTCCTAAGGGAGCTACAGCCCCCGAAAGAGGAGCTGATGGTTTTTATTTAATATCTCCAAAACCATTCAAGATGGAAAAATGAAATTTTTGAAAATTTTTTTCCTAAACATGGCTGCCCTGTTCCATGGCCCAAGCTAAATCTTTTTTCTAGTTGTTTCATTATGAATTTTTATGCCATGTAAGGTAATTTTTAAATCGATTTTAAGCGAAAATGGTTAATATTATAGCAGTTCAACAAGAGGACCTTTTTTGTGTGTAAACCTTCAAAATAAAATAATCTCACATCAAATACTAGAACAAGACACGTACAAAAAAGTTAAGATGGTTTTACCCTTACTCCTAATCTATCTGACCCATCCCATTATGGAAAATAATATATTGAAAACCCCTCAACATTATGGACAATGTATACATTTATCATATAAAAAAATCTTAATGTTTTAAATTTATTTATTCTGCAATAGTCTTTCTTTACATTAAAACAAATCATTAAAAAACAGTGTACACTCTTCAACAAGCATTTTTTTACATTTTTAATAGTATTTTTACCGATTTTTTTTTCGAAATTTTAATTTTGGTGAATTTGTGATTCTAGTTTTTTAATTGATTTTATTTGGGTTCTACTGCGCTGAGTCTCAAATTACTATCAGTATTAATATTATTATTATATCAGTGTGGTGACCGTGAGAGCCAGCACGAAGGCCGCACGGCGCATCTCGTCTGTTTGTGCACGCTTTATCAAAAAAATAATATTTAAAATTATTTATTTTATATTATATTATAATTATTATTATTATTATTTTTACAAAATACTCAGAGTTTGCACGTTTGTTCTGGTAACATTCGTTAAGAGATATATTGTTGGTTTATCTTTCAAATGTTATTAAAATTAAAATATGGTTCAATATACAATATATAAAATATAATATACAATATATAAAATTAAAATATGGTTCAATATACAACAGGAGGTCTTTAAGGTAGCGCCCAAAATAGGCAACTTTATACCAGATCTAAAAATTAATTAAAAATCCTTCAGGTTCTCTAGAAATTTCATCCTTTTAAAGAATCTGAAAATCTAAAAAAGATCAACCAACAAAATATAGCTGAAAACTGAATGTGTCGGACTTATCCCGTAGCTCTGGGTGTGTAGAAAGTGTCCCGTCATCCTCATGATCCCAAAGAATTAAGTTTTGCGGTCTAAATGTTGTTGAGAAGCTTGCACCACACGCAAATAACTCTCACATAGCTTGGGGCAATTGGGATAAAGATGCATTTGATCAGCAACATTTGGCCGAAAGCTCAAACTACTTTCTCGATTCTTATCCAGCACCATTCGTCATCCATCATACTAACTTAGTTTTAGGTTAAAAATATTGATCTTAAGAGAGGTTTAGCTGCGATGTTTGGTTGATAGAGGGCATTGGTTTTTGTATTAATCTTTAAGTAACATTCAATTCTTAACAGGCTGTGGAATAATAATTTTTGTCGTTTCCAGTCTGTTAAAATTGTCTCATCATTTTCTCTATCAATCGTGCATTAATCTAGACATATTGGATCATTTTGACACAAAGGTATTTTTCAAATTTTTTGGTCGACATCCATACATTTTTTTTTTAATTTTGACTGGGCATGTTCATCATTCGTAGATTTTTTAGACGAATATTTTTGGAACATGTTAGATTTTTTTTGTTTATGGATGTCGATATTATCGATAAATATAGTATAGATGGTTGCATGGGCATCGATTTGTTGCCAAAAAAATTTTTGCATTTTGAAAAAATTTTTTTGCAACACAATACCGTCGACAAAATTTTGCATGTGGCTGATGATATTTTTGTAAGCCATTTTTTTCGAGGATATTTTTTTGCTTTTTGATCGCCGACACGCGATAGTTTTGCAGCGTAAAAAACGCTCGAAAACCTTGGGAAAAAATCATCAACAATTTTTCTTCATAGTTCTGGTATTGAGAATAACCCAACGGTTTTCTACCGATTAATGCCTGGATCTACCGCACAAACCAACAAGTTTCACACGTTTTATCTCCAACAAAGGCCCGAGAACGGTTTCACTTGGGCTGACATCAAAGTCAACCATCCTTTGGACTATGAAACTATCAAAGAATACAATCTTACGATTCGTGTGGAGGTAAGTTTCTGCTAAATATTACAGGGCAAAAGTTCATCAAAAATTATTTATTTAGAATAATGGAGCCCAACAATTGGCTTCTGAAGCGACAGTATACATCCAACTTGAAGATGTGAATGACGAGATTCCTTTATTCACAGAAAGGGAACAGGAAACTGTTCTTGAAGGAGAACCAATTGGTACCAAAGTGACGCAAGTTAATGCCATAGACAAGGATGGAACCTTCCCCAATAACCAGGTAATAAAAATGTCAAAAATGTGATAGGTACATCAAAGTATAATCAACAAAAGAAATCATAAATAAAATCATGTTTATACGTAGTAGCGCCATCACGTGGCCATTATCATCTTAACCAAAATTCAACTTTTAATAAGCAACTGTCAAACGCGTATGTTACAAACGAGTGTTTCTAAAAAAAATCCGTGGCACGATGTTGTGTTGTTGGGTGTTTTTCGAGAGGAAATCCTTGGTTGAGTTTTTACCTGTTTCCCCATAAATAGTGGAAGAAATAAATTACTTATAATTGTATACAATTCATATGTATATTTTTTCGTTATAAATTCAGTTGTTGACATTTTTTTAGAATATAAAAATATATTCCATTTTAAGCTTATATTGGTACAACAATTATTTTTTGTAAGATTTCTTAAAAATGTTGAAATTTAAATATAAATTATATTAGGTAAAGGTATCATTCGTTAATTCTGCACACAACAAATTATTTGTCAAAACATGAAAATGCAACGATTTAGTTCTTGAGTTTTATTTACAATTAAAAACAAAATAATTCACTATGATCACTTGATAAAATACCCACACTAACGTAACTGTATAAGCATATAAGTGTTAAGTTTCTTAATCAATGATATAAGGAATAGTAAATCGAAATCGATACCTACTAAACCAAAGTTTTTTAGTTTTTACTTGCCACCTGAAAAACAAATAGCGTGCGCGATTTAGCAGTGCAATTGAACAAAATTTGTCGAAATTTGATTATAAAAATAAAAAAATTATATCTATCCGATCGTTCGGTAAATCATTAAAAAAAATAATCAAAGACAAAGACAAAAGTGACTATAAAACTTGAGTGGTGTACGATAGTGCTTTTAAAGCACATAAAAGTACAAGAGCTTAAAAACGCAAAATTGAATTCGCAATCTCTGAAAAGTGGTCTTGCTTTGTCTAACCTCAGAAGGGCTAATCGGCAAGACTAGTAATAACCGGAAGTAAGGTTAGTTTTTCGTAAAGGAAGTTTAGATTTTTATGTCAACTTTTGTTTAAAGATGCAATTTTTACCCTGTAATTCATCTTAAATTACAGATTTTCTTAATGAAGTATGTAGTAAATATAAATAAGAACACGAAAATCCAACAAATACGTTTTGTGTTATCATTTGTGCTAAAAATATATACAGGGGAGTCGAAAAACAAGAAAACTTAAAATACTATCGAGAGTAAACTGCCTTTCATTTCGTTTTGGAGCAAAGTGACATATAAGAAAAGAATTCAAATCCAATCCAAATACAAATTGTAAAATTTCAACTCAGTATAGGTATTCCAAGTTTCCTTTTTCTTTTAAAGTTTTAAAATTTAATTTCTAATTTAAACTTTTGTACCTTATGTACTATCGCTAACAAAAAAAACTCATACAGCTATATTGTGGCTGTGTGAATAAAACTTTTCCGTCAATGTCAAGCTGACATCGAGCTATGTCACATCCATTATGACTTTTTTAACATTTTTAACCAAACAATGCAGACGAACTCTGGCAAGCCATTGAAGCCATTTGGAACGAGATAAAGCAAGACGGCGACTTCCATGCTTTGCCGTTTGCGGGCAGTAATTGACAAAAACAGAGGGATGACGAAATATTATTTTTTTTTCAAACTTCAACCTAACTTTGTATTTAATTTTAGACCTTTCAAATGTGACGTATCATGTTAAAAGCCATAATTACTCCAACGAAATGATAGAAAATCAGGAACACTAGATTTTTAAGCTGTATGAGTTTTTTTTGTTAGCGATAGTAGGTACCTATGACAAAAAATGTCACAGTGAGATAGTCTTAGATATTAATTTTAAAATTTTGTTTTAAAAAATATTTCAAACTATTCAAAATATGTCAAGAAAAAAAATCCGTATTTTAACGTTAGTCAAATATTTTATTAAACAAAGTTGTTTATTATGTCAATAAAACCTTAGATAAAAGGAAAAACTTTATAACAAATTGGGTGTAAAAAATTATCCTATTCATTCGACGCATTTCTCAAACTGCCGTCTAATGTCAATTTCTAAATTAATATGAAGTTATAAATTTTAAACCTTTAAGAGAAAAATACATTTTGGAATATTTAGGTACTTAGTTTTTGGATAGGATTTAATTTTTTTTTTATTTGTCACTTTGCTTAAAACGAAAAATAAAGGTAGTTAACCCTTAATAGTATTTCATGTTTTCTTGTTTTTCGGCCCCTATGTATATATATTTTCAAATTTAAATTATGGCAATAGACTTTTTATGAAGAATGACTTTTGGTAAAAAAATGAAAATTTTAGTCCATTTGTCCATCTTGTGTCATCTATCCTTGGACATACTGTATATTGATAAGACCACATTAAGACCCGCTTTCGAATACTATAAAATACTTATTTATTCCTAACTTTAAAATTAGATGATACTTTTTTGTCTTACCTATATTAACTCACCTTTGATACAGTTATTCTTTTCTATGATACAATAAACCAGATATGTAGGTAGACCAAATGCTCAAAAATAATACTTATTTGCCACAATACATTTCAGAATTGCATTAAATGAAGTAGGTATTTATTTCCCTAAATTCTTAAAAAAACATTGTTATTGTGATACTACACTGCGCGTCAAAATTAACGCATAATAAGTAAAAAAATTCTTACTCTAAAACGCCTTTACCAATCTTTATAAAATTTTGGAAAAAAATACTGATATCTCAGTTTACGTGTTCAAGGGTTTTTTGAGAAAATATCCTTAAAGCCATTTTATTTAATAAAAAAAATTTTATATTAAATTTTTTTTAAGTAAATAAAAAACATACTGTGAAATACCTTATTTTTGTAAGTATACCCTAAAAATGTTGTACAATTTAAACAAGCAGTAACGAAAATACAGCGCTTTAAAGTCTTCAAAAATGACCACTTTTCAGCAAAATAATCAAAAAGGGGTCATTTTTACCGACTTTGAAGCACTGTATCTTCGTTACTCTTCGTTTGATTTGTACAAAATTTTCAGGGAATACTAACAAAAATACGGTCTTTAACAGCAAATTTTTTATTTTCTTCAAAAAAATTCCCTAAAAGTTAATTTTTAAACGTTTTTTTATTATAAAACAAAAGGGCTTTAAAATATTTTCTCCGATATAAGTTGAAGTATTTTTATTCAAAATTTCATAAAGATTAGTAAAGGCATTTTAGAGTTTTTTTTTACTTATTATGCGTTAATTTTGACGCGCAGTGTATAAAGATAAAACACTTAAACTTTCACGATTTCTTTCTTGACTATACTTTGACAGGTACATAACCCAAAATGCCTTAAATGCCAACTTTTCAAAAGAATGCGTTCAGCATCCAATGTCGAGGACTTTGTTGCTTGCAAATTTGCACGATTTTTTACCATCCTGTTGTCTTATTTTGTTAACCAATTTTGTAAACAAAAAACCCCCATCTATTTGCGTATGGTTTGTAAAGATAGTACAAATTTTCTAAAGATTCTAAATCCTTAAGTACATCTTAACATAAAAAAGGTCCTTAAGCCTCCATTTTTTTTACGAAAAGCTTCCAAACACTCCTAATAACCAAGATTGGCGCTTTTTGCAATTAAAAATGTTATTATTTCCCCCTGAATACTGCAATTACAAATACATAAAACGAAAAGTTGGTTTAGCCGGATTACCCAAGAAACCTTTTTTAATGAATAAGCTCCTCTAATATTTAATTTAAATGTCTTTCAAATTTAATTAAATCTCCTAAAGAAGCTTAACGTGTAGACAGCATATTTTACATCAAATATTAACTGTGCACTTGTCGGGATAGGATTTTAAAAATAAAAGTTCCCAGCCATAAATTTCTTGGTTACAAACAATCGAGTTTATCCAACTCGGTTAAACACACTCGAACTTTTCAAACTCTTCTTATTTATTTTTTGAGACGAGTGTTCCACATTTCGTGTGCTGTTTATGAAGGCGCTAAGCCGTTTTATTACGAAGAAGACAATTTATTTTCACACAAAGAGATTGGTTTGTCAATTTGTTTGTTTCAGGTTTATTATTATATTGTGGATTCGCCGCGGAACGAGGGAAAGGACTTCTTCGAAATCAATAAGGAGACGGGTGAAGTTTTCACCAAAATCGTTTTCGACAGGGAGAAGCAGGGTGCGTATGCTTTGGAGATTGAGGCGAGAGATGGCGCTCCTTCCGCACGTCCTAATTCAGGCAACGAACCAAATTCAGGTAAGTCCAAGTTTTTTTTAATCGATATTTTTAGCTGGAGGCACAATCCACACAACAAGGTCTGTTCTATCTCATGCTAAAAATACTAAAAATCACTGCAACACTGCACAGAGTTTAACGGCGGCCATTTTTGTTGTTTACAATTCTTGTGCTTTGGGTTTGTGCTGTTTAATAATTGTTTTAAACGTTGTGTTTCTTACAGAGGCACTTGTAAGCCTTAATTAAGGCCTTTAAGAGCTAAGGACAACCATTTTACTCCTCTTTTATAATAAATATACCTTATTCTATCAGGGCTGTCAAATGACAATTTGAAGGTTAGTTTGTTGGTTATAATTTAACCTTAAAATTGACATTTGAACGTTTTATGACAGCCCTGATAGAATAAAGTTTATTTTTTACAATAGAGTAGTAAAATGGTTGTTCTTAGCACTTTAAGGACTCTTTTAAGGCTTACTATGAGAAACACAACGTTTAAAACGATTATTAATCTGTATAAACAGAGCACAAACCCAAAGCACAAAAATTGTAAACAACAAAAATGGCCATAGACAAGGAATTGGTTGGGTGGCCGCCGTTAAACTGTGCAGTGTTGGAGTGATTTTTTGTATTTTTAGTACGAGATAGAACAGACCTTGTTGTGTGGATTGTGGCTGGAGGGAAAGGTTTTGAGGTTATAAAAACCATAGATAACAAAGCCTGATAAAAACGTATTATAAAATGTCAAAAATACATTTTAGTTCCTAATTTACGCTGAAAATTATAATTTCGCATTCGACGTTTTAGCAAATTTGCAGATACGTTATTCTAAACTTGGGATAATTACACTAATTTATTTTAATAACTTTGCCGCACGCAGTGCTCATAAAGTCTCTCAGGATCCATTGTCAAATAAATCACTGTTTGTTTGGGATTGAAGATCTAAATATTACACTGGTCAAATGACCATTATTTTGCCCTATCAGCTCTTGCTATATATTGCTATAACGTAAAAGCGGTTGGGTCGAAGGATTAAGTAGAGTCGACCAGTTTTTTCCCTGTGGTTCATATCAATACTGCTGTCGATGATTTTAACAGGCCATCACATTACGTTAATTTTCATGTTTTTTTTAATAAAAAAAAGTAGTACTAATGCAACACTGAGAAATATTTTGCTTACTTTGGCGTGAACTATCATCCCCCTAAGGGGTGTCAACTTATTACATAACACCTGTATTCAATGACCGGCAAAAGTATGGAACAAATTCATTAAATAATTCGCCTTTTTTGTCAAAACAATCCTTGAACATATTTTCCGCCATTTTTGTAGAATATCTGAAGTAATCGGCCATTTTTTTAAATTGTACCCCCCTTTTTTTTTTGGAGATTCAAATAGATTATGAAATTGTGATTTCAGCAATGTAGGCTGACGATTTTAATTATTAAAAGTGTAAAATTTATAGTTTTTAATAATGTTTTCATGTTTTATAATTTTTATTAAAATACTTTTTAATGCGGTTTTGATAAAATTAAAAAGTGATTTTAGAAGAAATGTTCATAAACTTTCCCAAACTATTTTATTTCAGGGTCATAGTTTATTATTGTTTTTTGTTATTCTTCACATAGTATAGGTATGTCGATGTATTTCTTTGTTAGCATATAATTTAAAACAAATATTTACTACTTTATGTAAAAACTTTTAGCTGAGGGTTCAGTGAAGTATCTGTCCCAAAGATATTCCAAAATCTGGCTGCTAAATCCCCAGACAATTATTGAAAGATGTGGATTTTTAAGAAACATCTTGTAATTTTAATATAATATAATAATATTAGTGAAGTGAAATTTCTATTTTTTATTTCGTTTATTTTGACCTTGATATTTCACATCTATGTATTTTTGAAAATTTAATCAAAACCAACGTTCTTGCAATAGGATTCAAAAAATGAGGTCATGTTTATGTAGTAGTTCCACATATTTGAATATGTGAGTACACTGAGAAAAAAGTTTATTGCTCCCAAATAAAAAAAATATTTAAATATGGGACAAGGGTACAGTTTATTTATCCTAAATATATTTTTATTCCCGACACATAAAGTTTTACTAAAGTATATTTATCGTTATTATTTCGACTATTTAGAGGTAATAAACAATATATTTACTACTAATAAAAGTATTAGGTACACAGTTTATTTGTCCCATTTTTTTCTCAGTGTAGTTTATTTTACCGTGGTATCTCGTCCACCAGGGCATCAATAGTGGAGTCACTTTTTAAATTGAAATTGGGCCTGCATATGGTCCTGTGCATTAATTGTTCTAAAAATATTTTCAAAGGTCCTAATAATCGCAAATTGATTACAAGGATAATTTAACCAATAAATTACCGCAGCGGTCATTAAATTACCATAAACGTCCAATAATTATGAAAATAATTGTAAAATTGTCATTCATCAAACGATTTAATTCATTATTCATGTTAAAAATACCGACATAATTTAACCCGACACCGGGCAAAATATGAAAATGATATCAGTGCTAATACGTTCCAATTTTATAGGTATATTATACCAATTAACTATAATTTAGGTTTGTAATATAAACCCTCATTAAGCCCGAAAACAAAATTTCATTAATAACGTAACTATCGTCGAATTAGAATCCGACCTCAGAATTACTCCACCCAGTCAAGTTTTTGATTATTTATAACCCAATTGTATAAAACACGCTTTTTGTTAGAATAATAAACAAATTTAAATATTAAAGACACGTTTAAGGATATGGTAACACAAAATTTCATTAAAAAACTTGTACCTATCTCGTTAATTATTTGTTAGATAAAACATTTCCCATAACTTATCCAAGAAAGATTGCCCGTCCTCCAGTCGACACTTTGTAAAACTTTAATAAGCGCTGTTCATTTTTTTTCGGCGGAATTCCGCCCGCATACAATTATTTTTTCTCGGCACCACCAATTTACAAGCAATTTCCAAGGAGCGATCGATATTTCAGATTGCATTTCCTTCACTTGTCTTCGCGAGGATTAAGTCTATAGAACAAGGCACAATATAGCGCATGCTACTCTGCTTGCATAAACATAAAGGCTGTGCATGCAAACTTGTGAATAAACTTAGTGTAAACACGCTCCATTGTGCAAATTCGCCTTTATGTGTTACTAGAAAGCACTTACATGGCCATGTGTAACGTTTCAGGACTACAAAAAGTTTTAAATTATAAAAAAAACAGTATGTAAATAAAATTCTTTACTTTCAAACGATTTTATTTCGCTTTAATGCTGACCGATAATCAAATTTTATTAAAAATATATTTGGTATTTACAAGATGCTTTTGACCAGAAACCTAACATAGGTTTGATTTATTTCTTGATTTGTTTAATACTTACTTCATAGAAAAATCCAAAAAAATAAGTCAGAAGGTGTTAAACTTCTTAAAATATATAAACTTTCTACTAACGTACCTTCTAGTAATTTAATTACCAAAACTTCTCCAAACAAAATTATTTAAAAAGATTAATAATTAGTAAGGTACCTTGTATACCAACTTTTTATTCAGGAAATATTTTTATGTGTTAACACTTAGTGATGTAGATAGGGTAAATACCCAGTGGGTAGGTAAATAAAATTTGGGTAAATACCTGGGTAAATACCCAAATTTTATTTACCTACCCAAAACTGGGTATTTTTGATAAATGCGTTATTATTTATACTTTAAATAATATTAAACTTCCCTATTAAACCATATAAACATAAACGTACTAGAATTGTCTCTGAACGCACTTAATCGTGGAAAACCGCTTAATTGTTGAAATGCAGACCAGGGTCGATAATTTTTGAAACCAAAAAAAATAACAGTAGGATGAAACCCATTGGAAAAGGAGAAGAATATAATAAAAATAAAAGGAAAAATAAATTACGGGCGATCTGACTTCGGGAAGTGGGAGGGGGGGTTTTAAGGGTAAAAAATGGTTTATCTCGATTTCCGGCAAAACTAACAAGTCCTATGGAAAAAAGTTAAAAAGCAAAGTTGTAGGTAATAAAAGGATCTACAACTTTTGTAATTACAATTTTTTTACATAACCTCAAAATTTATGTGAAAAATTCAAAAAACCAAGTTTTAAATAATATTATCTAAGATCTAAGGTAGGTACTACTACAGTATACTTCACTATATTGAATAAAACTATTTATTGATTTCAAGCTATTTTTATGCAAGATTTAAATCGAAATACCCCTATAAATACCCTATTTGGGTAAATACCCGGGTAAATACCCTATTTGGGTAAATACCCGGGTAAATACCTGGGTATTTTACATCACTATTAACACTAGTGATACACTTCGCGTCAAAATTAACGCATAACAAGTAAAAAAAATCCCTGAAACCCTGAAAATGTTGTACAAATCAAACGAACAGTATCGAAAATACAGCGCTTCAAAGTCGTTAAAAATTACCATTTTTCAACAAAATAATCAAAAAGGGGTAATTTTTACCGACCTTGAAGCGCTGTATCTTTGTTACTGTTGGTTTGATTTGTACAAAATTTTTACTAACATAAATACGGTCTTTAACACTATACTTTTAATTTACTTAAAAAAAATTCTTTAAAAGTTATTTTTAGAACGTTTTTTTTTTAATATTTTATGCCAAACTGATATTTTTAATTTATTGAATTTAAAATATTTGATTTTTATATTTGTATTTTTTTGTGAAACCCGAATTTTTAATTCGCTTTATTAAAAATTAGATTTAATTTTTATGCCAAACTGATACTTTTTATTTAGTTAATTTAAAATATTTGCTTTTTATATTTGTATTTTTTTTGCTAAACACATCTTTATAATTCATCACATTACATTTAAATAAAAATATCTGCTTATTTAATACAAAAAAAATAAAATCGAATAAAAAATATATATGATATATTTAAAACATATAAAAATTTCTTTAATTTAGCGAATTATGTGTTTAACAAAAAAATA